TGTATACACAGCAAAACAATCAATTTTAGTAAAATCTAATAAAGACTTATTGGATTGGTCATGTTAGATGAGATGTAACTTTTGGTAAATGAGTAGAAATTTTATTCAATATTGAAAAGAAAACTAATGCAAATTACATGTGTTTTTAAATTGATAACGGTAAAGATAATTTTTTTTGGGGCCTTCCTTGGTAACTTTTTTTAACAAAAGAATAATTAATTTTCATGTATAATTTTTCTAATTAGATACTAAAATGAACAAATGACTAATTTTTATTCATAATTCTCAATCACGAATTTAAGAGTTACAAATATTGATTCAGCAACAAAATAATAAAGATTTTCATTAAGTTTAACACCTTTAATCTCTTTTAGCAAATGAAGTTGCAAGAAGATAGAAAACAACTCAAAGTAAAAACAAAAAAGCGAATTAAAATATAATTACAAAACTTAACATAAATTTAAAAATATAAAATTAATTCCTATAATTTTTTTAATTATAAATATTTAAAATATTATTTTAAAAAACATTTTAAATACATCACTTAGGACGTAAAAATAATTTAAAACACTTGTTTAATTTCTATTAAGGCATGTAATAAATATATTTAAATTTCTCAAATTTTATAGCAACAAAATAGTCATTAAAATAGAAATAATTTGTGTTAAATTTTGAATAAGTAAGTTTGATCTATTTAATAATTTTAAAGCCTAAACATATCATATTATTTATTATAAATTTTTTATTTTATTTTTTTAAAGTTTGATTTTTCTGGTAGCATTTTTAATAATCTATTTTATATTAAGATTTTTAATATGTCATTTAATTTTTTTAAATAAGTTATCAAATCATTTAAATAAGTATGGTTTTAAAAAAATAATAAAATTTATATTTAAATAATGCATTAGAAAATAGTTTAATACTTTAAATATTTATAATAAAATTATATATTATAATTTTTTAAATATATATTTTATTTAAATAAATAAATTACTAAATATGTAATAAAAACGAATACAAATTCATATTATATATAAGACAAATAATACAACAGACTCAAACAACGCTGTGTTATTTAGAATGTATGTAAAAGGGATATTCTTTAATTTTAATAAAAATATTAAATTAAATTTTTTAATATTTTTATTTAATTTAAAATTTAATTTATTTAATATTATATTATATTATAAATTTTATATAAAATTATTTAATATATTATTTTAAATTTTATGTATCATTTTATAAAATTTAATATTTTTTCTTAAATTTAAATTTGACTTACTTAATTAATTAAATTTTTTAAAATTTTAAATTAAACTTAATACTTAACTAAACTAAATTATGTTAAACTTTGAAAAAATTAAATCATAAACTTGTAGTATAACTTAACCTATTTCTATCTTAATAATTATCTTTTAAAATAATATATAATATTAGGATTACGTAAAAGAATCAATTTTTTAGGATGAAATTAAAAAAATTGTGTAATAGCTAGTTTTGTATTTAAAATATTTAATTATTAAAAATAAGTTAACTAAATATAAATTGATAAATTTATATTATAAAATTTAAATTTTTTCTTATTCTATAAATAAATTATTTTCTTCGTAGAAATATAATCGAACATTATAAACTCTTTTTTAGAAATACCAAACAAAATGAAATAGTAAATTTTATAAATTTTTCGCGTAAATAACAAAATGAACCTCATCTAAACACACTGAGTGATCTTTAAAACAGCATGACGGTTGAAAGTGAGGCTATCATGCACAAATAAGAACTTGATAAGGTACTAGGTTTTTTTTTTTTTTTTTAAATGAGCTAAAAGTACTTATTAAAAGTATTTAATAAATATAAATAGCATAAAAATGTGTTTATATAAATCTTAATATATATATTTTTATTTTATAAACATATATAAAATATTTCAAAGTAAATGTAATTATATATTTTTTAATTAATTTTGATATTTTTCATTTAAATATAAGATATTTTATTGAAAATAGTAAATATTATAATATTAAAAGAAGATTGTGTTATAGTATATAGTACTACATTAAAAGGGACAATAAATAAAGATTTTTGGCAACATAATGAAAATAATAATAACATATAAATTATACCCTTAAATGCTCTTTCAATTAGTGTTTGAAAAATAGGTTATAAATAAATAAAACAAGTTAATTTTTCAAACACTCTAGTACACTTTAAAAATAACAGTTTTAAACTAATACTGTTTAAGTTGCTTCTTCTTCCAATTAAAAGAAAAAGGTGTAACATATACTCTATGAACTGATTTTGTCACTATTATTCTTTGTGTATGATGCTAATCCCTTTTATTTGCTTTCTGCAATGCCTTGTCTGACTTCAAATTTTAACGTTTCATTAACCTTTATTTATTTGTTGTTCTTTCAAATTCTGCTACATTATTTAATATAATTATGATAATTAGGACGTGGCATCATGGTTTCACTACTACCAAGGATAATCATTTGCACAACCAGTTGTAAGTTTTTCAGAATGCCACCGGCAGCAACTTCTGGAATAAACTCTCGTGCGCATCACTTTCTCCTATACTCCTATTATTGTTTCTATTTTTCCAATTGGTAGAATATTTTGTCACATCTTATAATTAAATAATAATAAAAGTGAAAAGCTAAATACGTTTTAAAAATTTAAAATAAATTTTAAAACAATAAATTATTTTAAACAAAATTGTTCTTGCTAGAAGAAACACTAGTCTTCTTGACAGTTGACATCGTTTGACATAGAGTCATGTATCTGCAAAAAGAACTCCGATGATAAAGTTAGGTATCAGTTTAGATAATAAATATTATTTAATTTTTAAAAGTTAACCATTTAACTGTGCTTTCTATTTTCTTTTTATAGATATTATTATATGAGCTTTGTGTGTTAGTCCTATTTTTAACCTTCTAATTAAGCTGATAATATTTTTAATTATTTATCCACATAAACTTAATTATTCTTTAATTTGTTATTAACCTGACTGAAAGGTACTTATCTCACTTAAACTAGGTACTTGGATTCTTTTTTTTACAAAAAAAAAAACCAAGTAATGTCTTATTCATTACAAAAATTAAAACAATGAAACATAAAAAATGAAAAAATAAATTTACTTGATTTCATTTTACGAGTATATTTAAATTAAATACTTGTTTTTTCTATTTAAAGTTTCTTTTTGTTGTTCAAAATTATATAATTTCAGTCACTCATGCTCTGACATATATATATATATTATTAAAAATTTTAGGAGTAAGAAGCATGCGGTGATTAATCTGGCGAAAATATAATATAAATAGAAAAAACGGATCAATGCGATGATTAAAATCTGATAAAGTAATTAGTGGCCATAAAAAAAGTAGCTAAAGCATATGGTTGGTTTGATGGAATACAAAGAAACTTGACTTTAATCTCTGTAATGAAAAGGCCGACCAGTCAATAAATCAAAGAGGACAATAATTTATCCATCAGCTATCTTTGTTAGACTCATCAATGATCGAGTTATGGGATGCCTACCCCATTGTTTTCGACAATTGAACAAGTTAAGTTTCAATTTCATTTTTTTATTATCAATAATTTATTTATATTTTCACTGTAAATTTTATTTTATATTTAGATTCACAATTATAGATAATTTTAGATTAATAAAATTCCTTTTATCTTTAACTTTTACTCACCCAGAAGAACAATATCTTACAGAGTAGCACTATGTTTATAAATTAATTCAATTCAATGTAAATTATAAAAATCAAGTTAAAAAAAATAAAAACTTAAATTAAGTGAAAGCACCAAAAATGAAAAAAAAAAGAGAGGAATTAATTAGATTTTGGGTTCAGTTTAAAAAGTAATGTATGTAATTCAATTCTAACCAAAACTTATGAATAAGCATATAATTTTATTCATAAAATTAGTTATTTAATTATATTTATACAATTATATATTTATAAAAAGAGGAAGAATCAATATACATTAATGTAAATTACATGTATTATTACATTGCCTAAATTATTCGTGCCAAATCTTATAAAATTTAAACAACAATAATAAGATAATTAACTATTCTTATCACTATCTATTTTAAAGTATATATTATGTTAATTTTATTACATAAATGATGTATTAAATAATCTTACATTAATATCAATTTTATAAATATAATTTAGTGTTTTCATCGTGAATGTTAAGATAAATTTGATAAAAAAAATGTTAAATAGTAAGAAAGTAAATATAATAAACAGTGATATAAGTTAATATATCCTGTTATGAAATTACAATATTTAACTAACCCTTTACGATTTTATTATCATAATTAAAACATTTTTTTTCATAATTTTATTAGTTTAATGTGTTGATGAATTTTAAAAATAATTTTAAGTTATTCTTCTGTTTTATTTTTTTATCATATAAATTCAATACTTCGTATAAAAATGTTTTAATAAAAGATACTGTTAGAAGTTTAATAAAAAAATAAAAAAATATTTATTTAATGTATTTTATTTAAATAAAAATAAAAATGTAAAACCAAATTATCCAATCTAATTTAAACAACAACTAATCACGTCAGGTTAACTGAATTAAAAAATGGATTTATTTTCCCAAAGTGGAGAAACAAAGGTCAATGCTTTTAAAGTTTAAACAGGGTTTGTTAATTGTTAATTACCCGTTCCCATGTAATTGAATTATGTAATTAAAGGGTTACCTGACACGTGGGTGGGAAATCTATAATTTTGGCAAATCTGTGTTTTTTAAATTAATTCCTCCATAATTTTCATTTAGTACAGAAAGGTGGTGGATTTATGCATTGCAAGTCACGATCATGTCGTTTTAAGAAGCGAGGCCACGCAGTCATGATGTCGTTTTTCTTTGGTCCTACTCAACCCTCCTTACTCGGACGGACACTCTAAACTCCGAAAGTAACGAGGAAAGAGTATGCCATAGCCATTAGCCAGGTGCAGCGTGTTACGAGAAATACATATGTGTGAGTGTGTTTATCTTAAAGCAATGGTCCAATATTAGAAGCCTCTAATCATTTCGTTCTTCACGAGCCCAAAAAAATAAAGGGGAAAAAATAATAGAGAATAAGAAAAAAAGTAAAGAAAAAGCACAGTGGCACGCCCCTCATCATCGACCTCCTTTTGCTTTTCCTTCAAATTTTTCCTGGGTTGTTGCTGGTTGCAGCAATGAGAGCTGCAAATAAGCTTTAGGAAAAGAAGAAACAAAAAAGAAATTCAAAAGGGTACCCGAAAAATGCCTTTTCATCCGCATTCCTTTTGAGCTCGTCAACAATGGCCGATGATCTCTCTTCCTTCGCCAAGGTCTGTGTTATTTTGTTTTCTCAACTTTCCTAATGTGCCCATGTTGTCCTATTGCCTTCAAATCTCCCAAGACTTGGGGTAAAAGATTCCTTTTTTGATTTTGTTTTTTCATGGGGTGGCACGTGAAATTGTCCGATCTGGTTCTTAAAATAACCTAAACGCATATGTGTGTTTTGATGGTCAATGGGTATTAGGCCTTTGATCAGGTAGGTTCCTCGAGATGTAGATTCTGTGGGGTTTTTTTATCTATTCATGTGTTGGATCAATCTAGTGGAGGCCTTTGTCGTGTGTGTTTTGATACAAATAAATCGATTTAATATCTTTGAGTCCATGGTTTCAGGATGTTTTGCTTGTAAAGGGTTTGAAGAGTTCTACGTTGGTGTGGAGGCTGGTCGTGTTGACCTTAGCTATGGTCTGTGGCGTGTATATATGTTCTATTTGTCTGAAGCAGATAGGCACCAGCAGCAAGATTGGTTTTCTAGACATTAAGGTCATCCAAAAGCCATGCCCAGAACCTAACATTGAACCTTGGGAGATTCCTTATGTGCACTATCCAAATCCAAAAACTTACAGCAGGTGAAATTACTAACATATTACTGAAATCTGAGATTTTATTGCAGAATCTGTCTGAATTTTGCTGATATTGCTTCCGTGGTGTGTCCTTGTTAGGGCGGAATGCGCTTGCAACCCTGTGCGTTATTTTACTATTCTGTCAATGCAGAGATCTGGGAGTGGATGGTTTGAGACGTTTTTAAACAGTCATGATAACATAAGCTCAAATGGGGAAGTCTTTTCGGTTAAGGTTAGAAGGAGTAATATGTCAACAATAACAGAGACTCTGGATACAATTTATAATCTAGACTGGTTTAGCAGTGCTTCAAAAAATGAGTGCACATCTGCTGTCGGCTTGAAGTGGATGCTTAATCAGGTAAAGGTTGTTTTATTTATCAATGCCCTTCTATTTTAATAAATATTTGCCTCGCCTGACAGTCATTTTATATCGTTTTCTCCTTTTGGCAGCAGCCTTTTTTAAATCAGCAGGGCTGATATACACCACATTAAGTTAGAGTTAAGGTATAATTTGGTCCTTGAAGTGACATCTTGTGTTGCTTTGGTCTCTAAACGTGCACTTCTATACAAATTGATCTCCAAAAGTGTTAATTTCCTTACAATTTTACCCAACCAAGTTATCAACTTACGAACTATTTTCAATTCCCAACAGACTAATTTGTATATACAAATATGATAACTTTCAAGGACACCAGTTACACAAGTTGTCATTTTCATGGATCAAATTGTACATAGAAGGTGTTTGGAAGAGCTTATGAAAATAGTTTATAATTCTCATAAGTTCTTTTTAGTTTTGTTTCAGTAAATTTCTTGGAATAGCTTATCAAAATAAGCTCTTTTCAGCTTATTCCGGTAAGTTTTGTAATAAAATTTATGTCATAAACCCTTGTGTGATAAGACTTTATTAAATAAGTACATAATTAAGATGTTTATCCAAACATACCCTAAATAGATTAAATTATTAGTTCTTAAGATGCATTTGCAGATTTCTGTTAAGATTATGGTTGCCTACCTAGGTTGATGACATCCCCTTCTTCAGCTTTGACTGACTGCTGATTTGATGAGGGTGATCTAGCTAAACTATTGTTCTTTAAGCAGGTGTATTGTGTGAAAGTAATATTCATGCCTGGATTGAGTGGAACTCAATCTTATTTAAATAATTTACTTGGATTGGTTAATGGAATACGGAATTGGAAATTTTAATTTAGAATAATGCTATCTCTAAATGGTGGTAAAAAGAGCTTGGGGGATACAGGAAAGCTACTCTTTTGTTGAGTACCAGGTGTAGAGGATTTTTCCTGGTGAAGTCTAACTATCAGATGTGATCAAGATTTTGTTCGTTACATCCAGATCCAGGCATGAAATTCAAGACATAGGATGGATAATTTATGTTTGATTTTTCCATGTTTTTGGTGCAACTTTCAAAAAGGAAATTAAATTCTTTTAGGTATGCTGATGATAACTTTAGGACAATATTTATTCTGAAATACCAAATTTGTAAGGGAATTTATGAAGAATAATATGATGCTTTAGAACCTGTTTCTGCTTGAAACCAACAATGTCCTCCAAACTAATTTTTTTACCCATGTATCTGTTGACTTATATGGGATTTAGAGGTTAGGAAATAGGAAGTACATTTTCATGAGGTCTAAACTGTTGCTTATGAGAGATGAAGGGTGAAGAGGGATCAATTCTCACTGTCACACACAACACTGACAACATGACTTATGCTGTGCAAGATGCATGCATGCACATTCATTTATTATCAACTTATCATTTTTCCAATTGTTTTTGTTAAGCTGTTGCAATAAGGGATTGACACAGGTTATCTGGCTGAGTTTTTCCGTACTGTTATTATTTTTATATTTGCCCTGTTTTATTACACTTGCCAGATGACATGTGTGTGTTTATATATGTGGATGTGAATGCAACATATGTTGTTGAATGTTCAGTGAAGATTGATATTGTTCTTTTCTGTAGTGGAATACTTTTGCATAAGATAGGTGGCTCTTGGAGCTTCTTTGAAAGTTTGTAGAAAGCACAAGAGTATTAAACCATTCCACAGCAGCATTAGAATTATAATAATAGAACTTGGTTAAGAATGAAGTTCAAACACATCTCTAATGTAGAAGTTTTCCTTCAATACTTAAGTGCCTTAGAATGTTAAAGTTCCTTACTGCAACTTTACTTTCAAATTTCATATATTTGAGCAGATGAAGTTAGGTAACTACCCATTTCTCCAATACAGTTCAGTGAACTCAATTTTCTTATGTTATATCAAAATCTCTGTTGATATTATTTTTGTCTTTTTTATTAACTATGATATATAATATTCCCATTCTTTAAAAAGGACACTTAGTACTAAATTGAATTTTAATGTGCAAAGCTAACACATGTGGTTCCCTATGTTTGTCTTTCCTTTCTTGCAATTGTTAATCAGAACTTCGATTTGGATAGATGAACAGGACTAAATGCCCAGGAAAAACAAAACCCCCAAAAATGAGCCCATCAAAGCAACACCAGCAGTAGAATTCATTTTGCATTTTTTTATTTTGTACTTAGTATCTAACGTGTTGGGTTTGATTTCTGTTCTATACATTGTTGTTCTAAGCTTATAAGGATCTGAGGATATCATAAATTCATAATGTTTGTAATTTAATACAGGGATTGATGCAGCATCATGAACAAATTGCTGAATACTTCAGAATACACGGTGTTTCAGTCATATTTCTTTTCAGAAGGAATCTTTTGCGTCGGATGATTTCTGTACTTGCCAACGAATATGACAGGAATGCTAAGATATTAAATGGGACTCACAAATCTCATGTTCATTCACCCACGGAGGTCTCTGTCTATTCTCTGTGCCCTTGTACCTGTTTTAGTTTGAACATTCATGCTTGTACATTTGCATGAGTGCTTCATTGTGATGCAATATGCTCAAGTTTGTTGATGTACTATCGTACTAAAGATAGTCGATATTTGATGTTAATGGATTCTGACTATGCTTTCAGGCAGAAATACTTGCAAAATACAAGCCCACAATCAATTCAACATTATTGATTGCAAACTTGAGGCAAGTGAATGAAACCACCACCAAAGCTTTGGAATATTTCAAGAGCACTAGGCACATTATCCTGTACTATGAAGATGTTGTCAAAAACCGCACTGTAAGTCACAATACATGCTATATGATATCTCCTTTATCTTCCTTATCTTATGCCTATGAAGGATTTTTGAGTCTTGACATTTCTATTGTCTCTTGCTTTCAGAAATTGGCAGACGTTCAGGATTTTCTGAAGGTTCCTAGAATGGGTTTGAAGAGTCGTCAAGTGAAGATACATAAAGGGTCCTTATCAAGCCAAGTAGAAAATTGGAATGACGTGAGCAAAGCACTCACAGGGACACCATATGAGAGTTTCCTCCAAGATTATCGTAGGTAAACTGTTGGGTATGTACATACCTCGTTTTGCCTTTTTTTTTTTTAACCCTTCCTATGCTGTTAGCATATTCCTCTAATCTCTTTGCTCATATGTTGCTGCATGAGCCAACAGGATAACCACCCTGTTGAAATTTTGGCCACGGCCCCCTCTCATTTTTGTACTCAGTTTTTTTTTTTTTTCTGCTTATTCAATTAATATTTAATTCATTCTTTGTACTTTTGCCACTTTTTCGTTGTTGTTGTTGTGTTGAATACTTGTATTGGCTTTGGAGCCTTCAAGAGAACTAGCAATTTCAATTTGCAAAAATATTTTTCGCATTAAGTTTTCCCTATGGTCCATGGAGAGGTATCTAAATTGAGTCGAAAAAAGTTTGAGTCCCTGAAATCTTGTAAAAAATGTGAAAGAATAGGACAAATGTTTATCACTGTTCCTAGGTTAATAGGAGTTTCTTGTTTAGCTGCAAACAGCTGGACCTGGAAATTTTAGGTGGGCACACGCCATCACGTGTTTATTTCATATTATTATGTATTCTAACATTTTGGTCATGGACCCGCTTAGCCGAAGGCAAACATGGGTGTGAGCTGTATCTCTCAGAAATAACGGTATACTCTGTCTTGCTATTTCGTAATGGGATTTTTAGCATGATGGAGACCAAATAGAGACAAATATTTCTCCATCAATTTCAATCTGGCAATCTCCAAATAGAAATTTTCATGAATGAATGAGCACTTTTAGATGATTTTAATTTTATAAACATGGCTTTTGTTACAAGTGAATTTGAATTAAACTATTTTGTATTAATATATCTTTAACTCAAAATTAGCAACGGCAATGGTTTGAGATTTTAGTTGGATATTAAAGTATTATGACTTTAATATTCATTTTATGTTAATTTATCATTTGAATTTTAGTTAAATATTATTCTCTTGAAGTGTTACCTTTTTGTCAAACTAGTAAAATAAGACTATTATTTAATATTAAAGTTAATTATAAATTGCACAAAAAGTTTATTATCTAACTAAAAAGATATCTTAAAATCTTTTAAATTCTGCTTATATATATATATATATATATACACACACACTTGGGTATGATGAGGGTGAGACGGTTACTATAGTGTCACGATTCATAGACATACCTTTACTGTTTGAGGGATTACCTTGATCTAGATTCAGATTTGCAAGTATCTATTTGGTAGAAAATGACTTGTCATTTTTAATCAAAATTAAGTATTTAGTAAAAGATAATACAATCGTTATAATTTTATTTAATTTTACAACAGACATGCTTTTAAGAGATGAAACATATTTTTTTTCATAACATTGCTTCAGTGTTGATATCATAATCTATTTGTGAATGTAAAAAGGAATCCCGTTGTCGTGCCTAATTTCTGTGTCATTCCTAAGCTAGTCAAATTTCCGCGTCAGGGAGGAGGCACCTAACCTAAAAGTCAAAACATTCATTGCAGAAGTACGAAGTTGACACGGTGGCTTCATTATGTCACAGGTAAAGCCATTCTTGACCCGGTCCTGTTCCTAAACAACATGCATGTATGTAAATACAACGTTCCAAGCCAAGCCACCACCAAACACAACTACTTTTAAAAAAACATGTATTATATTTATTGACGTTTAATGGAAATTTGGAACCAAGAAACCCTGAATTAAAAGATGCAAATTGAACCCTTAAATTAAAGCCACTTTTAAAAGTTTTCCATAACTTAAATGCATAAACTTAGATATTATGGCACTCTTTTTTAATTGGAATTGTAATTTTAATTTGATAATGTGTTAAACTTTAATGTCAATATTTATAATACAGATTATCATAATCAAACTTCAATTCTAATTAAAATTCGTACTAATAATAGTTATTTTACTGCACTTTAGCTTTATCTTTCAATAAAAACATGTGGTTTTTATCCATCATCAATAAGGATTAACACACTTAATAAATTCTTTGTGGAAAAATGCTATTAGGAAGATTCTAACCAGTGCTCACACTAGGTTAGGAATTAAAATAAAATAATTTTTACTCAAACATGTAAAATTACATTTATACTCGTGTTCTTTTTAATGAATTTCAATACAATTTTTTATAAAAATTTATTATTTATTAATTCATTAACTAATTTTCTAAGAAAATTGGTTAGCAAGACCAATGTTATGATAACAAGATAATATTTTCAACTGGTCCAAAAGTTTTATTATACCGAGCTTTTATGTTTGGAATGTAGCCAATGAATTGTGTGGAGTAGGCTGAAGAGTAATAAAGACTCAGGATAATTAAATTTATTTAATTATTTTAAAAAAATTCAGTGTATTATACGTGCACTGTACAAATATTTTAAATAAAAATCATAAATAAAAAAAATTAAAGATAATAATAAATACTTTTATTATTAATGACATTTATAAATAATATTATATTAAGTATGACATAAAAATTTTATAATTATGATAAAAATATTTAAATAAATTATTAAAATCAAGTCATACGATCTTATTCATATAATAATGTGTCAAAAATTTAAATTTTAAAATTTAATTTATTTAAAATAGAAAGATATCTTTCTATTTTGGCACAACGTATAAAAATTCAAAATATTTATAATTAAAACTAAATTTAAGAAATAATATTTGAAAGAAACAATACTAAATTAAATACATGATATAAAAGAAATTACATAATTTAAGATAGATGAAAACAATTCTTAATACATATTTTGATCATAGAAAGATGTCTCAAATTTTTTATAATATTCGAGTAGATTAAAATTTGTGAACTAGTAATTGGATTCGTTCATAACGTTTATCAGCTTATATATTCTGCAGTGAACCAATATAATAAAATTTTGTAAGATAAATTAATGGCTATAAATGAATCTTCATGACTAACGAGAAATATAAGATGATCGTAATTTCTTTTTTCGATTCTTACAAAATCAATTCCAACTTATTTTTCAAACAAACTCTGTATTCATTTTAATTATGAGCTGTTAATATTTGAAACTGATACATAATTTACTAATTATTATATTCTATTGGGGGATAACGATCTTAGCAACCTACATGCTGCATCTTGTATGAGATAGACACGTGTTTTTACTGTTGATAAAAATACTTGCTAATTTGAAAGGTTTAGGATTTTTTCAAAAAAATAAAAAAAAAAGATTAGTATTTTACCGCGGAGCGTTTGGTCTATGAAACTAAATAAATTTATAAAAAATTCTGCAGCAACAAAAATACTTTTTTCATGTTTTAACTTTAAATATCTTAATAAAACAAAAGAAAACAAAAATAACATTACAAAATAGAAGTCTAAGTATATATACTGTATTCTCAAATTTATATTGCTTGTACATTAAACGTGTTATACAACTCAAATAAATTTATTACTTTTTGTCTTTATTTCTATTTATTCAAACAAACTATAAAGATAACCTTTAAATTAAAAGTAATGATTGGATAAGCATTTCTCATATTGATAATTTTAAGATTAAAAATTTTTGACCCAATGTAAAATTTATTTGGTATTACAGTCAACCAAATCCATTTTCTCCATGGTTGACCGTGTTGAGATAACTACCATCCAAATAAAATATCCAAGTACCGACATTTTTTATTCTGAAAAATATTGCAAAAATTACTCCCCGTTTATTTTTTTTAAAGAAAAAAAAAAGATATACACACGGGTGAAATCATAGATAATTTATTAAAAAGCTAGTTTAAATTAGGATATTACATACTTATCTAATTATTATTAATCAGATAAGGAGTTGTTAATTAATAATGATAACAATTACTTATATAAACAGGTTTTAGAATATTAAATAATTCATTAAAAGCTTACTTAAAGATTTTAATTAAACCGCGGAATTAGATATGACAATACAGAAACTATTTACGCGTCTCGGAATGACAACTCTATGAAAAAAAGCAATAAAATAATAAGCGATTTTATCTTGATAAGATTAACTAATAATATAACAATAATTGTGATCTTGAAAGAAATAAAATTGGCGCAAGAATATTAAAAAGGCAGAAGAAGCATAAAAATAAAAAAATAGTAAAACAGAGAAGCGTGTGTATGGTATGGTAGTAGGGTAGTGGAAGGGTTGAAGCAAGTGGGGAGAAGAGCGTTAACGAGAACCGTTGATGGAAGGTGATGGGTCCCACAGCAGAAGAGATAATAAGGGACGGCCAAGCTTAGACGACGTTGAAACCGAGGTTTTACGTTTTTAACCCCAGATCCAATCCCAACCCAACCCAACCCAAACCCAAACCCAATAGAGTTTGCAAATTGGAATGCGTAGGCAGAGTAGAGTTTAAGAGTGTGTCGCGTTTCTTTATAAAAGACCAACCCTACCATTAGCGTCCTTCTCTTTTTCTCTCTTTCTCTTTCTCTCTGTTTTGCCTGGTCTTGGCGTTTCTCGCACCTGCTTGGACCAGGTCCTCTCCCTTCTCTGTCATCGCTCTTACAATAGCCGAAGGAAGAGGTGACAAAAGAGGGAAAAGAAAGAGAGAGAGTAACTAACCATGGCTCAACCAACCACCAACGGCGATCTGAATCAGCAGGCTCAGCAGCCGCAGCAGCAGTGGGCGCAGCCGCATCAGTATCAGCAACAATGGATGGCCATGCAGTACCCTGCCACCGCCATGGCCATGATGCAGCAGCAGATGATGATGTACCCGCAGCATTACATGCCTTATGTTCACCACCATTACCAGCCGCAACAGCCGCCGCCTCCGCCGCACCACCACCACCACCACCATAAACAAGCCTCCTCCGATGAGATCAGGACCATCTGGCTCGGCGACCTTCACCATTGGATGGACGAGAACTACCTCCATAACTGCTTTGCTCACACAGGCGAGGTAGAATTAAGCGTTCAAATTTAATATGTTAGATTTGTTCTTTTTTTCTGGTTTTAATTAGATGCTGAGGATTTGTTTGTTTCTGAGTTTCTGTTGTGTGTAAATAAGCTTGATTTGTAAATTGTAACTGCAAGTTACTACGGCGCCTATTTCTGCGTTTAATTCTGACGTTTTGGTAGTTTCGTTGCTTGAAATTGATTCATTCGTGAGTGTTTTGGTGAACCGGTTACTTAAATTTGCATCTAAATTTTACTTTAGGTTCTTTGATCTTTTATTTTGTGTGTGTGTGTGAGATTGTTGGACTTGGGTTTGTGATAAGCGTTGATATAAGATGATTTTCCCATTTCAATCCTTTGGATTGCGACTACAAGTGGACTATGCTTTTGGCGGCCTAAGTGGTCCCCCTAGTCTGAAGGCAGAGTATTTAGCCCTGTTGACCAAAGTTTTCATCAAATTAATACATCCTAGATCTCTTAATTGCGTATGAAAAGAGTGTCTAATAAAAGCCAACTCTCGTAAAATGTCCACATCTTAAAAAAAATTATAGTTGACAAGTAGCCATTGTGATTTCCTGAACCTTGTGCCTGTGAATTTCCCATTAATTACAACTTGGCTCTGAGTTGGTACATTGCCTGACAAAGCCTTTTGATGTTGTGCGTTGCCTTTTATGCAGGTTGTGTCAGCCAAGGTCATACGAAATAAGCAAACGGGTCAGTCGGAGGGATATGGATTTGTGGAATTCTATTCGCGACCAACGGCTGAGAAAATTTTGCAAAACTATAACGGTACGATGATGCCAAATACGGACCAGGCATTTCGTCTGAATTGGGCTACATTCAGTGCGGGTGAAAGGCGTCCTGATGCTACTTCTGATCTCTCTATATTTGTGGGGGACTTGGCCATAGATGTTACTGATGCTATGCTGCAAGAGACTTTTGCTAGCAGATATTCATCTATCAAAGGAGCTAAAGTTGTCATTGATTCGAATACTGGCCGTTCAAAAGGCTATGGTTTTGTTAGGTTTGGTGATGAAAATGAGAGAACAAGAGCAATGACTGAAATGAATGGTGTTTATTGTTCTAGTAGACCCATGAGAATAGGTGTTGCGACGCCCAAGAAAACTTATGGCTATCAACAACAATATTCTTCACAAGGTTTGTTATTTTATAATTCTTATTGTGTGTGCTTGTGAAGTAGTTTTATTTTCATTATAATATGTTTATGTTCTGTTTGCAATTTATACTGTGCCACTAAATTTTTGTATTAACTGAAAGGAAATCCCAAAATTTCGTTTCCTTGTTGGCTTTTAGAAGATGAATATTTTTCTTTGTCCAATATGTGCTTCCAGGTAGGATGAACAAATTATAAGTAACGTGCTTTATTCTACGAGGAACAATACGTTTTAAGTATGCATCGTGCTATCAGTAATGATAGATAACTCGAAACAGTTTTTCTACAAATATTTTGGGGTTCTGCTCCAACAGCTCTAGGTATGCAAATGAGCTGAGCTATGCGTGAATTATTTGAGCTTGGCTTGCTAAATGTTCTGTTAGACTCGATTATTTAAGCTTAAAGTTAGACTCAATTATTTAAATGAGTCAACATCAAGTTTTATAAGCTTTGATAGTAATAGATCGTGAGCAGTTCACATATATATGTATGTTTAGATTATTATAATTTTATTTATTATATTTACTTAAATTTTATATTTTTTTATTATTATCATTGTGTGTGTATTATTTATTTAATTTTAATTGTCAAGAGTTATATTTTAAATAAATAAGGGACCGTAATTATTTTAAAGTCATATACTATTTTCATAACAAAAATTTTATTTTTAACCTTAAGCCATTTTTTCATGTAGATAAAATTATATTTTATTATTATTTTACTTTATTATTTAGTATAAAAATATTTATTAAATACTAAATTAATTAAAAAATTATAAACAAACTAATGAGTCAAGACCAAGCTTCAAAATTATTATGTGCTGTTCAATAAGCTTTAAATACTTGGTTTGACTCGACTCATTTACACCCGTAAACAGCTGCTACTTCAATAAGCATGGTGCATATATTGTTTCAGTTTGAATGGGCCTTCTTTTGGGTTCACAGTTGCATAGTGCGGATTTTTCTATGCTTTTGCAGTTCTTCGTTCTATTCCCTTTCCTATCTCATGTCATATATTATTTGCCAATTCTAATGATAAGTCTGTTGTTTCTCACACACTTCAATTTATTATTGAATTTCAGTAATACATATATGCAGATATCTTTTCACTATATAGAAACTTGAATACATAATCAGGCAGTAATATGTGCTATTCATTGTTTTAAATTTGTGTATATATATATATATATATTATTGCGAGGCTTACTTTTTATGTTTCCCACTGGAATGTGGTGTATGATCATATATCATTCTTCTATTAGAAAATTCAAAATCTGATTTTATTTTTTTTAAATAGCTGTAGTGTTGGCTGGTGGACACTCATCTAATGGTGCTGTGGTCCAAGGTTCCCAGTCTGAAGGAGATTTAAACAACACAACTGTGAGTCTGCTTTTGTTGTTTATTATACCTGTTAATCCCTTGCTTTATTGAAGTCTTTGTAACTGATCTTTGTTACAGATATTTGTTGGAGGGCTTGATTCTGATATTAGTGATGAGGATCTCAGACAACCATTTTTGCAATTTGGTGATGTTGTCTCTGTGAAAATTCCAGTTGGTAAAGGTTGTGGTTTTGTTCAATTTGCTGACAGGTACTCTTGTGGTATCCCTTAACATGTGATAGATTATAACTTGCATGATAGTGAAACTCCTGCCGCTCCACTGTGCAGTGGGTGGTTTCTTTTGGAAAGGGAAGGGGTTTATGTATTCCTGATATGGATAAGGAATCCTCAAATATGCCAACTTCCAATGCTTTCGAGATCAGAAAAGGATAAGAATATCAAAGCAAGTTTGAGGACAAATGCATATAATGTTTATGATTCTGATTGCTATTGCCAATATAACTAGTACTGTCATATTTTTGCCTGAGCCAATATATTTTTGCTGTCTCTCTAACAGAAAGAATGCTGAGGAAGCAATTCAGGCACTGAATGGAACAATAATTGGGAAGCAGACAGTGCGTCTTTCTTGGGGCCGCAGTCCAGGAAATAAGCATGTGAGTTTGTTTTACTTCTTTGTGGACTCAATTCACTTAATTGTTTATAATATATTTTACCTTTTTCTATATACTAGAAAGTTGGTTGTGACTTACGAGTGTTATTCTCTTTTTAGCGTTATACTTTTTAATTCCTTTGTACTTGCATTTAGATTTTGAAGGCCCCAAACTGAACTCTTGTACTTTTTCAAGGCAGAAGAAATACTATTTCACTTCTATTTTCACAAAATCAATTCAGTTTTAATGATTGAAATTCATTGCTAACACAATTCCTTGGGATCATCATACAGTGGAGGACTGATTCCAATGGAAGCCACTATGGTGGTCAGGGTTATGGAGGCCATGGATTTGCTGCGAGACAGAATCAGGATATAGCCATGCAACCAGCTGCTGCAATTCAAGGGGCTTCCTGACGGCGCTTAGCAGAGCTCGGTATTGAAGTGAGTAGGATGGATTTTATTGCTCTTTCGAGTAAACTGTAGTATTATTTTAATGTTTGTAGTTGGGTTATACAGTATGTCAGGTTCTTAAGATTGTATTGAAATGTCTGAAATTTTGGATTGAACCCGACCATATAATATGACTCGGGTATTTTTGTTTTTGTTTTATTAACCTTCAAACGTATTGGTAGCGGACAGCCATGATTATTTTAAATACTTATCTCTACAATACAATGTAACCGCTTGCAAAAGGTCCATGTGGAGGCTAAATCTTAAACTTATGTTGATTCCGAGTTCCTCACTGACTTCTAATAATACAAAGAAGATATATATCTGATTCTAAAATAAATTACAATAAATTTTAAAACTATTGTGTGATAAATATAACAGGTTTGTTGCGTTGATGTCGATTCTTAGTATATGCTGTCCTTGTGCGGTAGAAAAAAATGCTTGTATTCTCATGCTATCTATATACCAATTGGATATAGGTTCCATGTTTCAACAGAAGTCCTAAAATTTATAATAGTGGGGGAATGACAAGGTAAATAAAGGAAATATATTCCTATCTCCTTCAATTTCTTCTATGCCTGGAGTAACGTAATATGATTAATAAAAAGTTTAATTACACTTTTAGGCCTCATTTTGATTTATGTGCAATTTTGGATTTATTGTTAATTGTTTAAATTAAGTTTCTCTAAAATTTTATTCAGTAATACAAATATATCAAAATGTGGTATATTATTAATTTGCATAGATTTACACAAAATATATGAAATATTTAAATAAAAGTTATTTAAATATTTAATATATTTTTTCATTTATTGGGTGAGATTTTGTTGTAATTGTACAGTTAAAAAAAATAAGAAAATTAAATATTAATAATTAAAATTTGGAGAACTAAAATTATATATAAATTAATGTTAAAATACAAGAATCAAAATTACAGTTAAGTCTAAATAAAATTTGGCGTACCTGGCGTAACTATCTACGTATTTGGGCAATTTTGCACGTACGAGGTACGATCTTGTATTATGTCTCTTGGTAAAAATTTGAAAATAGATTTGTCATTCTGTGAGGAATAATTTCTTCCAATAAATTCAATTATCGCTGTTCATTTTAAGACTTGTAATTCAAGCAACCTGAGCTATTTTTGTTTGGTCTTGCTTAAATCATCACTAAGTTTAATTTTTTTTAACACAGTCAAAAGGATATTACCGGTTCAAGCCGAGGCCAGTTTCATATGACCGGTTTCGTCAAAAAGGTAAAATCAAACTTTGTCGTGTGTAGATGAAAAAGAAAAATATGGCCTGTAGTTTAGGGGAGCAGGTTACGAGACATACAAGTAATTTTCTAGTACATTGCGTTACATATGGTGAATGTCCATCTGGTTCTATATATGTTATATCCCATTAAGCATATCATGCATCCAAAGCCTCGATGCGCACGGGAGGTTCTTTTTTGGTACATGTAAAAGAGAAAAAGGAAAGAAAAAAAAAATGTTGAAAGAAACAATGATCGTAGAGTCCACCTGTGCAAAGGAGACAAGCCATCTGGTGGATCGGATCAGTAATAATGATATCATTTCTAAAAGTTATGCACATTAGTTCCATTTATGAAGAGATAATCTCTAATGCTCCAAATAAAAACCTCATCTTTATGGAACATTGAAGGAGGTTTCTCTAAAAGATGATATGCTTCCATACTGAATCTGATTGACTAACCACCTTGCAAGCTCCTGTCTCCCAAGCGAGTTGAATTCCATGTTAATTGTAATATGTTCATATTGTGTCTCGTTATTTTTCTTCTTTATATAGTAAGAGCTAAATGAGTATAACATAAAATACAAAGTTATAACTATTAATTAAAAAGTCAGTGGTTAACATTTTAACTTTATAGAGTTATAATCTTTATTATCGATTCTTCTGTCAGATAGTATTTTGGAATTCACAGCACTTTTAAAAAGCTTTAAATATTTTTATGCAAAAGAAATAAGGATGACGCTCAATGTGAAATGCCACAAGAATAGACAAATTTAGAACAACTATTCTTGTGTTGACCCAAAAAAAACAAAAAAAAAAAAAAACAAAAAGAACAACTATTCAACTTGGCTAAAGCCGGTATAATCTGAAGTTGGCCTACAACTTGACTCACGAAGATATAAAAAATAAAGTCATAAAAATTTAATATTATCACTTTAAAAAATGGCATTAAATTTTTAAAATTATATAAAAAATAAAATTAACCAACTGATACAAAGGCATAAGATGTTTTGAGTCACATGAGTAATGGACTTATGAATGCAAGCAAGTCCAATAGGAACAGACCACAAAGAATGACGAAGAAGCCGCAATAGTTGGATGTTTATGTCTGAGTATGAGGCAGTTAGTAATAGAATTTTTTCTTTTATTTCAATTCCATGCTTTTCCTCGTGTAAGCCTACATGGCATTTGATCCACAAAATGCGTAGCCCATTCCCTTCCCTTATATGTAACCCATTCTTATTAATGGAATAGTAGAGAAAATAGTTGGATCAATTTTCTGCTTTTGTTGGAGCCTTGCCCTTGCTTGAAAGTTGGATCAATTCTTCTAGAGGAGCTTGGCCCAATTGTCAAAATGGACGCAGAGACCAATGACGTGGAATCTCGGCTAGAATCAGGAAAGGAGCATGCGTATTTTCAGTTGTCATAGACTGCCATTGCGGGACTTCTATCCCCTAAGACGTTGCGTGTGGAGGGTCACATCTTTGAACATTCCCTCCTAGTTTTAATAGACTTCAGTAGTTCTCATAATATAATGCAGCCCAGGGTGGCATAGTTTTTGGGTTTGGTAGTGGAATCCTTACCACTGTTCTCTATTTTTTGTGGGAAATGGTGAAGCTATTCCATGCTCTGATTATTGCTCAATGGCCCTTTTGCAGATGGGTGCCCATCAATTCGAGATTCCTTTTTACGTTCTCCCCATACACGGTATAGACTTAGTCTTAGGAGTCCAATGGCTCCAGACTCGGACCTTTTGTTTTTTACTACTCCATTCCTTTCATTTAGTTCCAACATGCAGGCCATACTATCACCCTTATAGGTAGCTCTTCCAACCATCCTACCTTAGCATCTTACTCACAATTTTGACAATTTTCGGTTACAAAATCAGTGTCTGCATGTATGGTCGTGGCTGTTCAGCCCATTGCTTATTCATAGAAGTATAATGATACCATTGATTTGAGTTCCCACAATCCAAAATTAGCAGAATTGTTACAAACCTTTTCACGAGTTTTTGAAATACCCCACGGATTGCCCCCGCCACATGATAAGGTCCATCATATTCATTTACTGCCTAATGCTTCTCCAGTAAATGTTAAACCATATCGCTACCCTCAATTCCATAAGGAAATTATAACTTCGTTAATTTTGGATATTGTTTGGAAGGCAAGTATACCCATCGAGAAGTAATAAAGGGTTCTTAAATTAAGTTCTAGAAATATCGTCCTATAAGGATTATTTTTTAATTATTAATAATTTCCTAATTCAATTGTTTAAGCTTCAAAGATATGGGATTAATTAAAACAAGAATTTATAAAATTAATTATAAACTAAGAGTAAGGAATATAATGCACATCTTGGTTAAACTTATCAGAGAGGAACTTAAGGCATATGTGTTTTCTAATTCAATCCTTTATGTTATTTTTCTGTTTAATTCTAAATCCGATTTCCTTGTGATTACCAATCATTCATACGAATACTATTAATACCCAATGATTGATGAATCCATATTTTGACTAATATTTTAATGTAGTTTTTACCCATTTGATAAGGAACATATGTTAGAAAAAGCAGAAAAACTCATAAAAAGATAATGATTGAAGATTTTCTTTAATTACATAGTTGTTTTAGAATTTGTGAATTTTCTATGTAAAATTTAAGAATTTTATCATTTTTTGTAGGAAAATCTGAGCCAAGTGCATGAAGATGGAAGATCAATGGAATGATAAAGGAAAAGTGGCAATTCTGGACTCAAAACAAGATTAATGGAATGAAGGCTGGGCGTGATCACTATTGTTAGTGAAAGTGATAGTTCCAGAGCATAAATGAAGAATATAGTCTGGGCGTGGTCACTCTTACCAGTGAAAGTGAGTGTTCTACAGAGTCTCTCAGAAGAACACACTAGACGTTATCACTCTTGTTGGCGAAAGTGAGCGTTCCAGAAGACTTCAAAATCAGCAAAGTTCTGCGTGGTTACTCTTGCTAACGAAAGTGGATGTTCCAGAAAGAAGTGTATCAAGGCAAGTTGCGCGTGACCACTCTTACTCATGAAAGTGAACACGCGCACTCTTCGACCTCTTGCGTTGCTACTATTATCAGCGAAAGTTAATATTTCAGTCTTCCAGAAATTATATGAGCCTCTGCGTGACCACTCTTGTGGAGCAAAGTGACGACGTGCAGAGGCGAAAATTCTTATATATACCAGAGCAAGCTCAGATCTTGGGGTCTTTCGCTCATTTTCCGTTTTTCACTACATTTCTTTGTTGAGAGAGAGTTAGAGAGAGGATTGGGGTTGAATGACGAGCTCCAAGAAGATTGGATTGGGGATCGTGAAGATGACTCTTTTGCGTTTCTTTCCTTCTTCTCTTTCTTTCTCTTTCTTTGTTGCAATGTTTGCTTAATTCTTCGTAGTTAGGAGTTTATGGACCTTGAATTGATCTATTGATTCGATTTTTGCTTCTGAACTTTGAGTTCTTGGATTAATTGAGTTGTTAATTCTGCTTTCTACGTGATCTTTGAATGAAAATTCAATTGATTAATAATAGAGGAATTTTTACTAATGGAAATTAGAATTGATTCTCATATTTGAATTAACTACCAGAATTGGAGATTTCTTTGGGATAAGTAAACTTAATTTTGCAGTCCTATGGTTCTGATTCTTAATGCAACTTGAAATTGAACTTCACCTAAGGGATTAGGGTGATTTAGTTAATTGTTAGGGTCAATGAGTTAAGGAATTAACCTTTGACTATTAATATGTGAAACTGATTGTCAATTAACCTAGTACTTGAATGTTTAGAGGCATAGTTGAATTGATATTGATATTCTGGTGAATAAATTCCTAACTATCATTCATTCATTTCTAATCTCAACATCAAATTCGTACTCTGTTTTTACTGCAAGTTTCTTACCTTTTAATTGTTCTTGTTTCTTACTTTCTATATGTTACAACTCTTCTAAATTCGTATGGCTCAACTAGTTATTGTTCTGTGAAGTGATAATTGAATTCCTAATTTCCTGTGGAGACGATACTTTG